AATGTATATATATACAAAATATATATAAATTTTATATATTTTTTCAGCTATTATTTTTATAGCGGCTATACAATGTTATTTTTCCGTATAAATATATTAAAAGAAGAATTCCCCTCCAAAACAAAAGCAATAAGTCAAATTGTACTTGACGCAATAAAGGAGTTTTCTAATTTGAATTTGTTTATCCACATGTGAAATAGAATTCAATAAAGCATGAGTTAAGTAGCCAGTAACCTAGAAATCAAAGCCTTGATCAATTGTGAATATGTAAAGAAACATATTAAGATTCAAATTAATTCCCCCTCAGATATCAAGGTTTAAAATTACAAGAATAATTATTACATCCACTTCATGTTAATATTATTAAAAAGAGATTTTTGAGTTTTAATTTGAAAATAATGTTATAACCTAAAGAATTTTAGCCTAAAAACTGCATATATGATATGATATGTAAGATTAAGGAAAAAGAACAACTGCAATGCATAATTACCTGTTAGTCAAATCTCATAAACTAATATCTGCAACAACAAAAAAAACATCTGCAAAAATAATAAAGGAAAAAATTCAAAATCCGAGAGTGTGGAGCGGGGGCGTAAGCCATGAACCTTTAGTCTTTTAATATTTTATAATTTTTTAAAATAAGATATAAATAAATAAAAATTCTGAAAAAAATATGTTCAGGATTTAAAAAAAATGATAAATTAAGAAAATAGTATAGGAAATATATATACACACTAATATGTACACATACTAATATGAATGTAAACATATTAACATATTAGCACATATACTCTTCTAGTATATTTAGAATAGAGTTAATATAAACACAGTCAAGAAACTATAAAATAAAATATAAGACTTACTCTCGGAGAATTATTTAAAAATGAAAGATAGAACCAATTAAGAACTGACAAAGTTAAACAATAAAAACATACCATAATAAAATAGAAAAATGAAGAATAAGAATTAACAAAAATATACACATGGTATTATGAGTGAGCACCATCGTCTGGTGATATAGGGCAGTGAAATATGGTCTTCTAAAAAACTTTCTCACTTCATATAAGAGGGATTTCATCTTCTTCTCCAAAATTTTGTTCGCTTATTAAGAAGTCAAAATTCATATCAAGCAAATGAAGAGCCTTGTGAAATTGCAGATGAATTCTTACTATGCAAGGCGAGATAATTCTTCTCTGTTGAGTATGTTCTTTGTGATGCACTTGACGAAGAGAAAAGTAGGGTACTAAAAAAATGGGATAAATAGAAAGATTATTGCACCTTTTAATCACTATCATTATTTTCATAATTGAAATTGCCCGTATATTTTTTACAATTGCAATGGTTGTATCCTTTCTTTTTAATGATGAACCGTTACATTCTTCAGTCATAATTCTTAATTAATAGGTACGAGTTATGGGGTGTGATTTTTTTTTAAAATAAGATATATAAAGGAAAAAAAGAAAGAAAAGGTCAAAAAAAAGTTGAATAAATCATAATTATTATATGTTTGTTGTCTCAAAAGTTTTTTTTTTTTTTTTTGAAAAGTGCTTTTAGGGAGAAGCTATTTTTTTCTGTTTCTCCAAAATTGTTTCTGTTTCTACTAGAAAACACTTTTTTTTCTTCTAAAAGCTTGGCCAAACGAAAAGCTTGGCCGAAAAGGCTATGTATCAGCTTACTGTGAATACCTAATTTTTGTACTATTTTAACACCTCCTAAAGTCATTAGTGTTTTGTTGCTTTAATTATATTTCCCAATTTTTGTGTCTTTGATTGCATATTTCCTATCATAAAAATACCAAAAAAAATAGTTCTTTCTTTATTTGTGCATTTTAGAAATTAAGTAACTATTCAATTGGTGAATTAATCTAGTTAATTGATCATTTGAATAAGTTACTTAATTAATTTATTTGTTTGTGTAAATTTAGTTTAATAAGTAGGATTAAGAAAGAAATTGGGCCAAATTTGAAAGAGAAAGTGGCCAAAAGTGCAAGATAAGGGGCTGCCTTTGAAAGGGTCCGGAACGACGTAGTTTTGCCTCAAAACTACGTCGTTTCATTAAGTGACCCAAGATCAAATCTCACCCATTGATCACCCATTGATCTAATGGTCCATATTTGATCTCTCAAAGGGTATTTAAAGCCTCAAAAATCTGAAAAATTCCCTTATTTCACCCATAACTCTTTCTCTCTTCTCTCTCTCTCTTCTCTCTCTTCTCTCCACCGTCGCCGCCGCCGCCGGAAATCATCCACCGGCGGCGGACCACCTCCAAACACCTCCAAATTAACACCATATAATCTCCACAACCTCCTCTTCCCATATCTCCAAACCAATTCCTTCAAAAAACCCTCAAACTCCTTGAATTTTAGATCTAAGAAACTTTAGCCGCCAATTTTTGGTCCAAATTCTTGAAACTCCGGCCAACACCACCCTACAACACATATATGAATGGATAGAGCTCCACGAGACCTATCTTTTCCTACCCATTTCACCCCCAAAATCCCCATCGTCGTCGGCCCGCTCCTCGCCGCTGCCACGGCTCCACCGCCTCACCACCGCCAAAATGCC